TAAGGTGATCAGGAAAGTCAAAGCTTAAACCACGATCCTGCATACTTTACCAGATGCCTGAGACACTGCAGTTTTGTCTACAAATGGGAATCCTGATAACTTATTTGCTACCCTTCTTTACAGAAACATGTTTAATGTCACATAGAATAAAACTGTTCCCCCAAGGTTTTGTTTTCAGCTTTCCTTACCCTAATATAATTTTATGACAAAGACAATTTTTTCACTAAAACATAAATGTACAGTGTAATATCGATTATGCTTTTTCAACCTACACATGCAATCATGGAGATTCTTACACACCTCCCTAGGGAAGTGAGCCCCTTGCAATAAGAATGAACAGTTTACAGACTAGTGGGGCAGACAAAGAAGCAAACCGACAATTACAGTGATAAGTCCAAAGTGTGGGGATTTAATCCTGACTCAGAAGGACAAGGAAGGTATTAAAAAAAAAAAAAAAAAAAAAACGGTAAAGCCTGAGGTGAGCTTTGAAGGCTGAATAGGAGCTAGGCAAGCAACGGGGGGCGTTCCAGACCAAGGAAACAACAAGGCAAAAGGGCCCAGAGGCAAAGATTATAGAAAATTCAGGAAACTTCAAGCGTTCAAGTAGCCTAGTTTGGCTGGTGGCTAGAGCACAGTGGCAGTGGCAAGGAGTCACTTGTGTTCCCTGAATGCACACTTCCAACAGCTTCCCCTAAATAAACACAGCATAGTAAAAAGAGTATGCTTACCATGCCAGAGCGGCTTCATAATCAAGTTCCCCAGCCCCACCTGACCATCAACATATTAATTACAAGGTCATACACAATGTAACTAAGGGAGGTACAGTGAAGGGAGCAACGGACTGGAACTTACCAATAAGTCACTGTGGCCCTTTCTAGTGAGGTCAGCTGCCGCATTTGTAAAATGAGTAGTTGACCCTGCCCTGAATAATCCTTAAGGTCCCTTTTGGTTTTGTGTTTGCAATCTAGTGACCGTGCGTATGCTACTAGAAGATCAAACATAAAGGTCTGTAGACCTCCACAAAGGCCCAAGGTCATCAGCAACCAATCCTCCCCTGATCCCTACTCCATCATTTTATAAAAGGCAAAGTGATCTAACTGCAGTGTTCCCAAACTATCAGTGCATATGCAATTTTCACTAGAAAGCAGAGGTCTAATGGATAAAATATGCAACTAGAGGTTAGGAAATCAGAGCCTTCTTCTCTCAGGCTCCTATAAAAAGAAAAAAAAATCAGGAAATTTCAGTTATTAACAAGTGTTTGCCTCAGTCTTATCTAACTAAGCTCCCAGTAAGAGAATGTATGAAATATGCAAAGTGATGACAAAGATATCTACAAATGAGAAGATTCACTTTAAGCCTGCATAGAAAGTTCGAAAACAATGATCAATTTAAAATTAGCTCCTTGAATCCATCACTTGAATCCATCACAATCAGAATCAGGATGAGTTTTCAGACTTCACTGTGCAACACAATTACTGAGACCTCTTCCTGAAAGCAGGTAGCTTTGGGGAACCTCCCATTAAGATTTTAATTCAGCAAGGGCAATTCTAAAGTCACCAGTTTCACAAACTCCTCAGGAGATTCTCATGAGCGGTAGTCATGGGACGGACCACACTGCAAAAAGCTGAATCTGGTAGTTAGGAATGAGCGTAAAGATACACAGCAGAGAATTATCTACAAATTAGGGTATGGGCTTCAGATGCCTTCCCTGGGCAGTAAGTAAATAGAGAAAGGGGGAAGGAGAATAGATATACTTGGGTCTGGATGGAGTCCTACTCATCCACTCATTAAATAAATATTCATCGTGTGCCCATATGGATCAGGCACTGTACTAGATACTAGGGATTACAGAAGTAAACAAGACAAATGAGGTCCTTGCCCTCATATTGACATGACCTCTTATGACCTTCCCTACCTACCTGTTAAAACTGCTGCGGTTGATCAGTCCTATGGACCCCAATGATTCCACTGCATAAGAAGCAGGAAGAAAAAAAAAGGGAATGGCCACTTTGTTTCATCAAAACTAGCCTTCCAAGAGATACTGCTGTTGGAAGTGAAGGCTTTCTTAGCCTTAAAGAAGCACTGTAGAACACAGTGGAGCTGTTTCCTACCTTGTAAGCTTTGTGGTGTGCGAGGGTGGAACGAGCAAAGGCTTGCCAGAGAAAACCCTGTCAAGGTAAACATCTCCCCCAGCGCGGGTTAACCAAATGGCCACATCCCAGTAAAATGCATCCTACAGGGATACTCTGTCCTGTCTCTGTCTCTGCCCCCGTGTCTCACTTTTGGACAACCCGGCATTCTGTCAAACTAACCTTCCTAAACCAGTATTACCTCCTGCACTTAGAGAGAACCTAAAGTACTGGCGACAGGCATTTGAGACCCTAAACACCTTGGCTTGTACCTCCCCTACCCACTTCCTGTGATTCCCTGAACCCACTTCACTGTTTGCTCCTTCTCAAACTTTGTTAGACACCGTTCCCTGTTGGCATCCCCGGACACTCCCTTCCTACCCATTTTTCTGGGCCCGGTTCAAATGCTACTTCTTCCAGAAGCTGTGACCCTCTCAGCAAGGAGAGTCTCTGACCTCTGAATTCTGCACAGCCCTTGGGCACTTTTCCCAGTTAGAAGCGTGCTTTTGGCTACATAATTTATCTTCCAAGGCAGGATGTGCTCTTTGAGGATAAGAATTGTTTTTATGCTTTTTTATATCCCTTCTCAGGACCTAGCACAGTACCTCAATAGCCAGTTTTTTTCTGTTTTTTTTTCTTTCTTTTTTTTTTTTTTTTGAGAAGGAGTTTTGCTCTTGTTACCCAGGCTGCAGTGCAATGGTGCGGTCTTGGCTCACTGCAACCTCCACCTTCTGGGTTCAAGAGATTCTCCTGCCTCAGCTTCCTGAGTAGCTGGGATTACAGGTGCCCACCACCACGCCCCGCTAATTTTTGTATTTTTAGTAGAGATCGGGTTTCATTCACCATGTTGGCCAGGCTGGTCTCGAACTCCTGACCTCAGGTGATCTGCCCACCTCGGCCTCCCAAAGTGCTGGGATTACAGGCATGAGCCACCATGCCCGGCCAGCCAGTTTTTATTATATCGTGGAATTGACTTTATTTTGTTTTGTTATTTTAATGCATTCATCAATTACAAATCTACTCGAAAGGCCATGCTAATGAAGCAGAAACAACTCTTGTGTGAACATAAAGGCAAGGTTGTGCCAATCTATAATATTTTATGCACTGGTTTTGGGAGACCCTGGGAAGATTGGGCTTTTTAACTTCCCCTGACTTCAATAATCATACTCCCACCTCCCTTCACCCTCTCCAACACCCCAGACTCCACACCTGCTCTACATCCTTCATCGCCTCCACACCACCCCACCCCACCCTTATTTAAAACCATTCTAGCCTTTTAGGTGCCCTAGGACCTTGGCTTCCATTTTTTTTCTACCTTTACACACTCCTTCTCATATTTTTTCAGGCGAGAGGAGGTAGATGTTTCATTACTCCTGATTGCAAAGTGCATCCTTCAGGCAACTTCAGGAACTCCAAGGTTGCCCTAGTATCCAGATTGGTGACCCTGAGTGCTCATGAGCTCAACACACTTACACAAGATCTGTGATATTCAGGCAAGTTTCAAATGTGAAACAGTAATTTCCAGTTCAAACACAGAGATTATACTTGCTGATTTTAAAACTGATCTACTTTTCTGCTTTTTCTAAAATAAAATGATTTTAACGTTTTATTGATTTTTATTTATAGAGAAGGGAGAACCTTTATTGAGTACTTTATGTGCCAAGATTGTGCTGGACACTTGAAATATAAATTTCACCTGATCCTCACAACCACCTTAGGAGACACACAGTTCCATTTTACAGATGAAAAACTGAGGTCAATAGACATTAAATAACTTGCTCAAAATCATGCAGTTAATTTATGGAGCTAGGATTCTGCAATTGGTCCTTTTAAAACAAAGCTCACACTCTTTTGGTTATACCATGCTGTACCCTTAATTAAAACCCAGAAGTTCAAAAGGCTGGGCACGGTGGCTCACGCCTGTAATCCCAGCACTTTGGGAGGCCAAGGTGGGTGGATCACAAGGTCAGGAGTTCGAGACCAGCCTGGCCAACATCGTGATACACCCCCCCCCGTCTCTACTAAAACTACAAAAAATTAGCCGGGCGTGGTGGCAGGCACCCATAATCCCAGCACTCAGGAGGCTGAGGCAGGAGAATCCCCTGAACCTGGGAGGCGGAGGTTGCAGTGAGCCAAGATCACGCCATTGCACTCCAGCCTGGGCAACAGTGCAAGGCTCCGTCTCAAAAAAAAAAAAAAACAAGTTTATTCTGACTACTTGGTCTTCCACTTCAAAACAGAGATCATAAAAAAGATGTAACCTCAGAAAAAGGAACTTTTTACATTCCTAAGGAAAAAGAGCACCACTGGGCCACCATCTTATTTTATCAGGGTCTCAAGTTGATGGTTTAGTTTTCCCCAAAAGAGCACTGAATTGACTCAATATCAAGTAATATCTGCGTAACCACCACAGCACCTCTTTGCAGCATCATATAATCACCAAAATCAACAATTTTTCAAAATTAAAAAATCACAGCCTAATATGTATTACTTGCAGTTTCTTTCTAGAAATTAAGTGCATGGTATAGTGAGGTAAAAATGGAAGACTCCAGATTTCACAAAGATGTCAAGTTTTACATTTTGATACAATGCAATTGAATTGGCAAAGACCATTAAAGTCAACAATTACCAACGAAAAAAGTATTCTATAACTAAGTAAACACCTGCTATGACTTCCCTTTAAGAATAAATAAGGTCACATTTATTCATTCAATGAACATTTATTGAGCACCTGGAACTGTGCTAGGTGCTGAGGAATATAACTGTGAACAAGATAAATCAGACTCCTGCCTTGACCAGATAAGTTTGCTTTAAATGATCCTGCTAACTACTACATATTTGTTCTCTGATAGGATTATATTTTTTGGAAAGTCAGTGTCATATGAAGCCTCTTCTGGAATACTTTTAAAGTTTCTTCATGGCAAAATTGTTAGAAATCTTTGTTTAACTTAGAGAAGGGAAGAAAAACGGTCTCCAGTAACCTTTAGACAAGCGTGTCGAAGGTTGAGTTCACTCTCAAGCAATATGGCAGCAGGCAACCAATGAGGCAGTTTAGACCATTCGGTTGCGCTTTTGGATTGGTGAGTCTGTGGTGCCATCACCGCATTGGGCCGAGGTGCGCTTGCGGATCCCCCCACTGTCCAGATGGAGGGCCAGTTCCTCTGAGCCGAAGGGATTCAAGTCGTCCTCCAAGAAGCTACTTTTTCGGCGCCCACTGCTGGCGACACCGCTGTCTTGAGGCGAGTCGCCTGATCGCATGCTGATGCCGGCCATAGCGCCACTGAGGCCATGCAGGGCGGTCGCCTCCTGGAAGGGCTGCAGGTCGACGTCCACCGATGAGCTGGACTCAGTTGCCACAGCCTGGCTGGGGGCCCCAGTGGGTGGCTTCGGGGGTGTCCTAGGAGTGCGAGGTGGAGGAGGAGCGGGGGGCACTTTGCCACACAGGAAGCTAATCAAGTCTTCACGACGAATGGTGCTCCGGCCCTTTTTCACCCACTCCAGCACATCTTTGATGCGACGCTGGTGGCCAACCTGGACCCCCAAGTGAAAACTTCGTTGGTGGGCATCCCCGCTCTCTTTGTAGAGGCTGGTCACGGCCATGGCCGCATTCTGGAAGGGGTCCCACATGGAAAGTCCTTGCTGTTGGCACCCAGAATCCTTGTAAAGCTGAGCAACGGCGGTGGCCGAGATCTGGAAGAGGTGCCACAGCTTCTGCTTCTCGCTCTTGAGCCCCGCCAACTCTGCAGCCGCCTCCTCCTGCAGCTCGGGGGGCAGCTGCTCCTCCTGCTCGGCCTCAGCCAGGCACTGGCGCTCCCACTTGGAAAACCAATGCTCCGCGACCTCGGCCTCGCCCTCCTTCTGCTGCTCCTCCATCCTCCTCTTCAGGCCGCGCACCTCCACCACCGCCTACTGCTCCGCCGCCGCCGCTGCCGCCTACTCTTGGTCCTCCACCTCCTCACCTCCTGCTCCGAGCTCCCCGCCTCCTTCAGCGGCCGCCGCCTCCTTCGCGTGCGCCGCCCTGCGGGCGGGCGGGCGGGCGGGCCGGCGCGCGGGCGGCGGGGCCCTGAGGCCAACTGCTGCAGCGCGAGTCGCCCGCGGCCCTGGTGCACGCCCCGCCCCGCCCGCCGGCTCAGCCACCGGCAACGGCGCGGACGCTGCCTTCGCGGCCGCGGAGATAACCCCACAGCCGCCGGCGCCGCCGCGATGCCCCCTTCCGGCCCCGCGGTCCGCTCCTACGGCCCCCCCATGGCGCTGCGGCCTCCCAGCCGCTGCCGCCTCGGTCGCCGCCGCTGCTGCGGCCCCGCAGCTCGGTCCCAGCCCCCGCTTGCGCTGCGGCTGTAGCACCGGTAACTCGGAGGGGGGCTGGCAGGAGCGCTGCCTCAACGCGGCGCCTGCCTACCTCTTAGCCCTCTTTTCACACATTTTTGGGACTTGTCGGCTTCATCCAATGAGCTGATCAAATTTTACATCCTATGTTGCCAGAGAGGATTATGGGGCAACTTGATGGTGTCGATCACATCCAGGGCGCCGATCCGGGGAGGCCGGGGGAATAAAAGTGGAAAGAGCACGGCCCTCGTGGGTAGGCAGGCAGTCTGGACCCCAGCAATGTCCTCCCCACACTAGATGTCCGAAAAAAGTGTTTTCCGTGAACAAAAGTAGTATTTTGTAGAAGAAAAAGAAAATCACAGGGAAAGTGCCTGCTGCTTCTTCTTGGGCCTCAGTTTCCCCAAGTATCCAATGAAGTTGTTAAACAAGGTCTCCGGAAAGTGCTGCAGTCCTGATTGAGCTCTTTCCTGCTGTCCCTGCAAAGCACTACTCTGGGGTTAGTTTCATACTTATCAAATTCTAAGAGTAACGGCCAGAAATGGTATTGATCCCCCCTTCATTCTTGCAAAGGTTTTTGTCATTAAGAAAAATGGGGTGGAGAGTGGATTCTGTGTGGACTGCTCTCAAGTATTGAAAATTCCAAGATGAAGAAGTAAGGGGAAAGAAAAAAGGAAAAAAAAAAAAAAATGAATGCCCAAACACGAGATTTTCTGTTCGAATATAAAGTTCAGTCCCTTTTAGGAAAGAAAGAAAAAAAAATACCTAATTTCCCACACCCTAAAAATTCCAACTAGTTAAAACATCATAATAATACCAAAATTAAGCTAAAACGGTATGGAACACTAACGTCATTTCCTTGGGTTCAGTAACAAATTCCTTGTAATAATGCAATCTTTTTTCAGTGCAGACAATTCCAGAGCAAACTGTGTTAAAAGAAAAAAAAAATCACTGAACTAAAAATAACATCAAAAGTTGGAGGAACTAATGTAATCAATTTTAAGATTTAGAGAAAAAAGAATTTTTCAGTTTTTGTGTGGAAAAATTGCTAAGTATCCAGAAAGCCTTACAGACATAAATAAAGCTAACTCTTCTAGCAAAATCTGTCTAATAATTCCCAAAAATGAAAATTAGGACATAAAATAAAATTATTAAGTTTTATCATCTCCCTTAAAAGAAATACATGTTTCTAAGTTAAATTTAGAAGAGAAGGAGAAGAGGGAATTGTGCTCTTTCTCTGCAAACCGGGCTTTTTCACGATTCATTAAACCCTTTTTCCATATGTGTAATTGGACTCTTCTCATTTACATAAACGAAGGATGAGGCAAAAGACCTAAGACCAGCCTAAGAGGAGAGATGCGTTTCTCATTCTTTTATGTTCAGAAAATACATTGTGGAAGAAACCAAGAAGGCAGACCCTACTTCATCCCCCACCCCTCACCAGACCTGAAATGTTAATACTTCATGGCCAAGGAGTAGGCAGGGTTGCAGCGCTTTGAGGGTTGCCCTACGTATGGTGTATCACAGTTATTATCACAGGCACATGCTTCTGTTTTATTTTCTCTAAGTAAAAAGTTTAGACCAAAATGACTGACGATAGGACAGCATATCCTACTTTCTCTTCTCATTTTTGACTGGGTTAAAAACCAAGAAGAAAGACTGCTCTGTCTTTTAAAGAGCACAAACCTCTGCTTGGGCTTGAGTTGTCTGGCTGGTATCCTCCATTCAGTTGGTTTCAGCACCTGATTAATTAGTTAATTAGTACTTAGAGCTGACTAGCCCTGGTCGGCAATTTTCATGCCCTGCATGGTGAAATGTTGAATCCCACATTGAAATTTCTGTGTCGCACACCCTAATTATTATCACGCCACTACTTTTTAAACCATTGCACCAAATTATTATTATAGACAGGGCCAGACAACTGTGTGAGAATATGTTCTTTCTGAGAAATAATGGTAGACAATATTTTTCACTGTTGTCCTTAACACATTTAAATAAAACAATTGAGTGGAGAAATTCTAATTCAATTAGCCTCCAACTCTTTCTATTGAGAAAATGATTTTTATATAAGAGAGATGTTAGAAAAAAATCGCACCAGAAATTTTAGTAATGTTTTATTAGTTCCCAGGATGCCAAAGATGTGTTTATAAGATACCCTATCTGACATTAGCTTTCTTCCTATATAATTCTAAAGTGTCCGGATTATTTTTAAAATAATAGGAAACAGATACTAAACAAAAAGACCATTTTTTTACTTGCTCTAAGGAAATGATGCTATCTGTGTATGTGTGTGAGGGAGAACTTTTGATGTTTAAAAAAAAAAAACTGACATGGTTTAGGAGTAAGTTTTCTGCGGGGAAAAAATATTCCTTTGCCACTGCCTCATTCTTCCATAAGTTTGATGTCATGGGTAAGGTTAAATATCAAGTAGGGAAAAATATTGTTAGAAAATAAGTTAGGACACAAATCTATAGCAGTCTAATTTTTACCATTTCTCAGTATACCATTACCAAAATGGGCTCCAGTATCCATGATTTCCAGTATTATTGCTAGCTATTTTCACCTGGAAACAATCCTTATATATCAGTAGTGGGTTGCTTGTAATTGTAAGAGCTAAATGGTACACAAAACTGGATACACAACCACATAGACCAGTAAATGGGTCAGACTGAAAGCAAAAGTAAACACCAACCTTAGGAAATGAAAGAAGTTAAAAGATAAGTGTTAAGGACCTTATTCTTTTTGGAGAATAAAACAAGATTTAGTAGCTTTCCACTTAATTTAAATGAAAAGAATCACTACCTTACATATTGCAGTGATAATGTAATGGGGAAAGAAAACAAAAACGTCTTTGTACAAATGACACCTCCTATAGTTGTTGTGAAGAAACTTTTCCCCTTGGTATCTGCTAACAAATTCTAATTAATGCTGCACATTCCTTTACTGAAATCATTTAATGCGTAACAAGGGGGGTAAAAAGAAATGCTGAATGCTCGTGATTGCCCTGTTAGAATTATGGGAGTGAAAGCCTGGGGCCCCAAACTTACTGTCTATTAAAGCCAAGCTTTGAAAAAGAAATGCAACCTACAAAAGCTGTCAATCTCCCTTGCCCCTAAAGCCTGGGTTCACATGGATTCAAGTGACAGCCCTCCTCCCCCATGCACAATACATCAATCTGTCTCTCCCACAAGCACCCACAGCCCATTGTGCTGGCCGCAGGTGCCTATTATGGCACCCATGGCTGCCTCCCACAGCTCCGCCCCTGAGAAACAGGAACTGCACACAATGGAGCCCTGTGGGAAGACAGAGGTGGGTGTTGGGAAGGATAACAGACAGATGGTAAAGGGTACAGGGTAGTAAGGTAGTTTCAAAACAAATGTCAAACATTCAAAATTATTGCTTTCACGTGCCCCCCCCACCTTTTTGAATTGCCTTTGCTTCAATCACCATCTGCCATAATTATGAAAACACATACCTGTTAGGATGAATATATGCTCTTCTTTTTGGGTCTTGGTCGAGGGGATGACCTTCAATACTCTACTCCTATTTAGCCTCTAGGTTTCTCAAGGTCGCAGACTGAGGAGTTTTAGTTAAGTGACACCAGTAGAGCATATAGGGGAAGGAAGAAATAGTTCTATTTTTTTTTTTTTTACAAGTCTTGTGATTTCCTTTTAAGCTTAGTTTGGGGATTCATAAGAGGGTAAAGGTGATGGAAACTAGTTGCTTTGGGTAATATGTCAGTGAAATCAAAGTGTTATGAGATGTCTTAAAATATCATACTAAGCAGGTGGAAATTCTTAGGCCATTTCTTTTCTGATAGGGAGATACAAAAAGGGAGATGAGGTAGATTTAATAATAAAAGTACTGAAGGTCTCTGACTCAGCCTCTTTTCCTATTCTTAAACATGCCAAAATAAATAAGTAAAATTGTAAAAAAAAAAAATAACAAAATACTATTGACATTGAATACCATTATCAGAAGTAGTACATTTTTAACATTTCATCTTATTAAATGTCACTTGCCGATAGTATTTTCATCTTTGGAGTTCTGGACTAATTAAGAAGCAATGAGTGGAAGAATTAAAATATATGCCAAAAACACATATATTAGTTCAACTAATTTGATTTAGTTGATTTTGTCCTTATATAGTCATCTCTGTATACCACCTATTCCTGTTTCCAAGATAATCTGTCATAAATCAAAACCAAATTGATAATGATTTCATCACTACTCTTACTACCTGACTCAAACAGAAAGCAACCAAGAAAAATCTGGCACAATTATAAGTCATGGTCAAGACAATTAGTGACTTGTTGGGATGAGGGTACCCCCCAGAATAATGCCAGAAACTAAAACCAGCCAGCTTTCTTGAAGCAAACAACAGGGTCTTGGTTTGTTGTCAAAAACCACAAACTAGGCTTTAACTAGGAACTGTCAGAGATCCAAGTGAGCTCTTGGCCAGGGAGAGCTTAATTAGCAGAGTTGGTTTGGTTTTTAAATTACACAAGAAAAACAACCAATACAGTATGAAAGCATACAGTGATCTAATGTAACACAAAATTCACTATTCCATTATATGTGTGTGTAGTAGTTTTGCACATTTTATTAACAATTTAGATTTAGATTTCAAACATTATTTTTGTGCCCATTCCTAGGGCATGGGGTTTTTTTTGTTTTGTTTTGTTTTCTTCTTGTGTATCTTTTCAGAGATTCTTATGTCTTCATCACCAAATGCAAATATGCATGCCTCCTCTTTTTAATATAAATGGTAGCATATGCTATTTCTTTTTAACCTGATGGATCTTGGGGATCAGTCCATATCAGAACAGTAAGAGCATATGTTATTTGTAAATATTAAGACTCTAGTTCAACAATGGGAAGTTTATTTATAAATTGTTTCTATGACATCCAAAATATTCAGAGTTCAAAAGAAATCCCCAAGGCTTTCCACTTAATCCATGGCCCGTTTTTCAAATCTCTGGTATCTTACAAAAATGACATTGCTTAATTAACTAATTAAAAAATGCCAGGTTTTAGCTATAAAATTTGTTGACAATACATACTCTCCTTTTCCTCTTCTTTTACCTGTGCTCCAATACTAAGCTCTTTGACTTCTAGATGTTTTCCATGGAG